TAACAGTAATGGGGATATACATCAAGATATTGTCAACGATCATTCGTATCGAAGTAACTTCGGTAACAGGTATGGTGACAGTCACTCTAATTCGAGTAACACGACGAGCAGCTACAATGCTGACTATAGTACGTCCTACTTTCATCAGTCGAGAATATTCAGGACTACTAATCATTATCCACTAAGATGACAATCGAAGGTATGAGTCTAATCGATGGACTCAGGCCACCGCACGAGCACAATCTCACTGTGGGTTCAAATTCTCACAATGTACTCTCAGTCTTTATATTTGACTATCTTCTGATTAGATGAACAAAATTTCGCTGGTTCTGGTCAAGGCGGTAGAACTTCTGCTCCTCCGAACTACCGAAGCCCCATCCCTCCTATTCCTGCGTCAGCATATCCTGGTGAAATCCACCGACCATCTACTGCACCTTTGCAGGTCGGAGATCGAGCAACTGAGGATGGGTACAGCCGTTCTTATGGACGGGAAGGGCCTGAATACCACCGACCTACGCGCCAACGCTATGCGGACTATGATTCGGAAGGCGATGCTGATCAGGAAATGCACTATGAGGAACAGAGCCAGCCACAACTCGGCGAACGACAAGCTCACCATGCGGAACCAGACCCCGAACCTTCGAGCTCTACTACTCCGAGGCCTCACTTTAAATCAAACAATCCCTATGCAAAGTCGCTGTTCACTTAGTAGGTGGTAATTATGTACATCATTTTGAGATTGTAGTAAGTAGCGGTTTCGGTTTTCATGACCGCTGGCCGGCTGCTGATACTGGCAACCCCACTCCTTCTGATTATATAGATTTTGTACTACTGTTGCTGTTAACGTATTTGTTGTACTTACGATGTTATATGATGTTCAATGTCAATGGGCCCAGAATGGCCGTGGCAGTGCCGGCAATTCTCCGGCGGTCCCGCCTGGCTGCGAGTTGACAACGTTTCTTGTTTACCTACCACAGCAGTGATCTTTTTGTATCCAGTCTCTCTACATCGTTCCTTTCACTTTCTTGGAATCTCTGCTTGATTTCCTTCTATCCTCGAAGAAGCAAAATGGACGGCTGGAAAAGTCTTCAAAGTGGTCTTGCTAATCTGAACCTCGGTCAAAGCGCGAACAAATTCACGAAAGGCTTTCAATCAAGTGTTCAGGCTACTAAGGAAAGACTTGGCCAGGTCTCTCAGGATGAAATCACCGAGTTGCCTCAAGGTTCGTGTCGCGTCTGCTAATCAAATGATTATGACAATGATATCACATTGCAGAGTACAAGGACCTCGAAGCCCGAGTAGACGCACTAAGAAATGCCCACCTTGCAATGTTGAAGTATGTACAAAAAAATCATTCTCTTGCACTTACTCATACCTTGGCTTAGAATCACCAAGGTATGACAACAAGCCAAAGTACCCGTTCATTCGTGTAACACGTTAATTCCAGGTGTATGAAACTGAAGCCTACGATTATCCAGTTCAAATCCAGGAATCTATCTCGGAGCTTTCCAACACCATCGGCACCAATTTCCAGAACTTTGCTGCCACCAACCTGAAAGGCACACCTCTTTCTCCCGGTGCTACTGCTCCTCGTCCACACCTGGAAACTCCGCACAAAACCCTCCCCCATGCCCTTACTCGTGCCTCCCACACCGCTTCGCAACTGCTAGTTTCAACTCCGGCCGGAGACTCCAGTAAACTTGGTAAAGCGTTCGCGCTCTACACTCAAGCCAACGAAACGATTTCCAACGCCCGTATCCTTCATGATGAAGCTGTTCAGGATGGCTATCTTCATCCTTGGCAGACGACGTTGAGCACCAGCATCAATGTCGCTATGAAAGCGAGGCAGGCCGTTAGGACAAGTAGGTTGGAGCTGGATGCGGCTAAGCAGGGGTACGTTTGACCCTGCACACAGGGACTACGACAATAGCGGCTGATCTTCTTTGACCAGTCTCAAGTCTGCTTCGCACGCTCGTCAGGAGCAAGCCCGTCTGGAAGTCGAGAATGCTGAGGATGATCTCGTTCAGAAAACCGAGGTTGCAATCACTCTCATGAAGACTGTTTTGGAAAACGTGAGTGTTTGCGTTAGTCCATATTCATACAAGATGCCAATCTTTTTCTTTCAGCCTGAACCTATCAAGAACTTGAACGAGCTCGTCAAAGCTCAGGTAAGTTTTACCACTTGACGGAATGACAGCTATCCCTGATTTCTTCTCCCTGCTGCCAGCTCGTCTTTTACAGCACTGCTGCGGAAGCCTTGTCTGGCGTTCAGGGTGAGATCGAAGAGCTCACCATAGCTGCTGAGGGCGAATATAGGTAAGCTTTTTTCTTTCTCCACGCCCTTCGACTGTAATCGCATCGCTTATCATCTGTACCAGAAAGTCCCGCGACCACTGAGGTGCCGTTGTGATTGAATTTGAAATGCGCGATGTTGATGAATAAATGACGGACACTGTTGTGCTACATGCTCGTTTCTAAATAGGATCGGTACTCGTTGCTAGTCTCATACATAAGCTACAGTGCACGGCCTTTGGTTTCCTGGTTTCAACTTCTCTTCTTCCCTTTGATACATTAGTCCAAACTATGTACTACTTTTCAAATGTGCCGCCGGTTTCTTATTCCTTCATGTTACGATGATGTGCCTTTTGAATTTCGATGCGTCTTACGAACTGTGTACTAAATTTCAATTCAGATTTGAGAACACTCAGGAGTTAAACCAGGTAATGTTCAAGCGATTAACACTCCTTTTGACCTATCATCAACCAAGACCAGCCTCGCCCCTCTGAGGAGGCAATATTTTGGCTTCTTCCTCCCCATTCTTCCGCCTTCTTCCTTCCCTGTCAATCCTGAGCTATTCGAGCTCTCTGGGAAAGTCATCCCAAACTCGCCAGATTGCTCAGACTGCTCCTCTTCTTCAGAATCCAGACGGAAGGTGAACAGGTCCAACGCACGCCTTAAATGCATCGATATATTTGAATCGTGGTATACTTTGAAGTAATCGCAATCACGCAGCGACAACGGGCGGGTCCCGGATGTGATACTTGATTGGCCAGATTGTGAGTTAACAATCACGGAAGATTGGGACAAGGAGGTAGTAGGTGGATGGAGACCCGGCTGAATTGTCGAAGCGTCCAATAGTGCCACCTTCTCCTTCTCCCTCTCGAGTCGCACAGAAGCGCTCTGTGCAGGATGAAAAGAAATTCCGAGTGATCCAAGATTATTCAAGTCTCTAAGCGTATTGAGATATTTCCAGAACTCTGCCAAGGCGAGATGTGACCATTTTATAGTTGGCCCGATTGTTATTCTGTCGAGAGAGCGAGAGAGATCAGGGTGTTGGGTATCAAGAACGACAGCCGAGCTTGCGCCTGCTTCGGTCCAAGCTGAAGGCAGGAAGCCACGGGCGGGAATAATCCATGCTCTGCGACCAAAATTATCATCATTTGTAGATGACAGATGAGGATGGAGGTAGATTGGTAGTGTTCGGTCGTAGGCTTTGATGACATTAAAATCTGGCGGTATGAAGGACTTGGAGAGTTTGGTGTGCGGCTAGGGTACATCAGTATCAGCTCGTTTTGGATTATACTATACCACAGCGTGAATTAAGGATGTCGAACACACCTGTGGTATGATACGATGCAGTGAGCCATTATCCAACCGAAGAAATTTCTTATGTGGTTCATCTTGATTGAGGGGTTCTGAATACTCCGGGTTCAATGGAATAGGGCGCTTCGTTCCTTGAGATCGCGTATCGTTTTTGTGGAACAGGTTACTCAGATCGGTAGACTCGAATTCTTCAAGGTCATCCAGTGCAAAAATTTCTTCGGCCGTCGGTGGTTCAGCCCAACTTCTGACTGTGTCTGCTACTCGTGAACGAGGGAATTTAATATCAGGTGGAGGTGCAGAAATAGTAAGGACTCGGGAAGCTGAGAATGCGCCAAGTGAGCGAAATAGCGAAAGGAAGTGAGTGATTACTTACAAGCATTTTTCATCGAATCATATCCTACCTTCACCTTCACACTGTGCCAGATTCTCCCGTCTCTGACTTGTTCCACGATATTCGCTCCTTCTTGCAATAAGACTTTGGCTGCGACAGCGGCAGTAGTGCCATATTGAATTTGGTGTACAACACAACGTGGCAGAGACTGAGTTTCGTATATCGTTCGTGTGCGTGCACTGTCTCCTATGACTTGGCGGTGGCTCATGATCTAGTCACATCGCTGGAAGGGCGGTCGAGCAAAGGGTCGCGTTTGGTCGAGGTCCAAGGCAGTCCATGTTTAGGCGCTTGAACCCAGGGCCGGAGGTCCGAGCAATTGCCACGTGTACGCATGCTCTACTTCAACGTCCATAAGCTCATCCTCAACGCCGCTCTAAATTGAGCAAGATGGTACGGCACATAGTCGTCTCCCAAAGCCCTGTATGATCTGACTCTGCATGTCCTCCAGTCTGCTCTCTTCAACTTTCAATCCCTTCTCCTCGTCATTCTACTAGCGATTTGTACATGCACGTATGTCCGTTCGGTAGCACCGCGTTTGGTCGATAGAAATAAAGAAGGGTGTGTCGCCTTTACAATAATGCTGCTGATGTCGACCTCTTACGCTGCCTGTAGATTTTTGGGCTTATTCTTCATGGCTGCACGAATAGGTGTGTACGCTACAAAACGCGGTTCATATACAAATTTTAACACCAAGAATTGATTACATAGGAGAACGACTTTCACCATATGTGGCACTGGCATGTATCTCGATGGCTGGAGCACTGCTATTGCAATGAAATTGTTGCCTTATATTAACTACTCTTTGTTTGACCAATGCTCAAACACGCCTGAACATGTCTCTTACAACACCTAAAATTTTGGAGCACAGGCAAACTTTCGCGGCGTGTGTTGGACTTGATATATTCAATGTTGGAACCAATTGTCGTTCAGCATACATATGACGTTAGTGAGTAGTATCATTGCTCGGTATTGATGTGGTATCTGTATCAGAAGAGGGAAAAAGAAATGCATCAGAGGGGAGTCGAACCCCTTTCCCGGCCATAAACTTTTCATGGGAAGACCGGATCATAACCGTTAGACCACTGATGCCCAAGAACCAAAATTATCAGAGCATGAATAACAAAAATGTTGTTGTTTTACATCGAAGAACAAATGCTACCACCGTATTACTTCGTACAGATTCTCATACTCAACTTGACTGAAAACCAGCTCGTTCAACCCTCCTCTTTCCACTAGGCTTAGTCCATTACTGTGTATATATTGTACATATTGAGCGTAATGATTTGCAAAGATTTCATCGAACAGCTTGTTCTCGAATGGATATGCGCCCAGTTGGATGTGTATTCGCCTGGGCCTTTGTAGGTGCAAATCAGAGTGGTTTGGGATGGTAGGAAGAGAGGTGTGTTTAACAATGGGTATGTCCAGCAAGAATTTGGCGAACTCGGCCCAGTCGAAACGTGCAAACTGGTCAAGGAATGGAACACAGTCGGAATCATTATCAGTGTCAGAGTCGAGGAGAAGCGCGGCGGAAGATGCGACAGGATTGCTTGTTGTCGCATCCAACTCGGTTAAATCAACCTCGAAACGTATCCTGATTTCTTCAAGCAAGTCAGGATTGGGTATTGAAGAGATCACTCTCTGGACGGCACTGATCGCGAGGGGAAGGAGTTCGTGGATATTGCTCATTGAGCATCCGAGGTATATGCTTTGTATATGTAATGCACGCAGATTCGTGCAGTCTTGAAGATCGAACACGGGAAGGTCGCGATTTCGAAGTTCTGTGTATAGAAGAAAAGGTGATAGTGATAGTGAGCATTACATGTAAAACGAAACATAGGGATACACAAACCTATCGCAACGGGAGCAGGTAGCTGATGTACGACTTCGCTGAAACTTGACCCAAATTTGGACAACATTCCGTTAACCCAACGAACCTCTTCCTCGTCCGGGAAACGCAAGCCGACAATGAAACGGTCTATGGTTATCAAGCTCGAACTGATCAGTGAGCTGAAGAGGTTCTGTGCCGCCCATGTTGACGCTGAATGTAGAGTCTGGAAGTGGATGTTCTTGCGTCTGATCAAGGCATCACCGATAACCTCTGTATCGTCTCCAGAGCATGTAATGGAGCCCATTACCACCGACTGCAGCGTACCAGGCCACATTGAAATCATCCCCATGAGCTCAGTTGCGTTTTGAAACCATACACCAGAGATGATGAATGTATCGATGTTTAACCCGAATACAAGGGATTTGAACACGTCTGGAATGTCGCACCAGGTATCGTCTCGCCAATGAAGCGTTCGGACATTAGGAAGGTTCTTTCTTACACGTGAAAGGTCGGTGGGTAGGGTCTGGGGAAAGTAGAATCCAAAACTGATGATGAGGGATTGGATTGCGCGACCCATACTGCTGTAGGGGGCGTCAAGGATTTCGAGTAAAGTAGAGAGACTTCGCGGATCGGTCGATGTTCGACCTTGACTCCAGCCAGAGCGGTCAGCGAGGATAGTGACTTCGAGGGAGTCGAACAGGTGGTACCTGCTTCGGTATAACATCGCTTTGCAGCTTAAGCTGGTCGCTAAAAGGGATTGTTTGTCGTCTTTGAGCTGATCGATGACTTGGTCGAGGAGCTCTGGTGCCAGGATGCGGTCCATGGTTATTGCGAAACGGGGTAAAAGATGTACACAAAGGGTGTGAGAGAGTACAGTCTTATATCACCGTACCTCTTGACGAACGCCTAGAGCAGACGAATAGGGAAGAGAGATAAAGAGAAGATCTAACTGCAGATCTAGAGTCGGGAGAGACGTGGCTTAGAATTGTGGTGATGTCAGGAATGGCGCTGAATTGTGAAATAAATGGAAAGGAAGACTCATAAAACGGAAATTGCACAAGACGCAATGTCTCGTAGCACCCGCTCCGAATTGCGCGAACTGAAATGAAGGGTAAGAGAAGGGTGATAGGATTTATATCCCGTCGGTTACCCCGGTACTGAATAATAAATCATGCTGTTTGAAATGTTGAGCACGCCTTTTGAATCACAAGGCAAGGCGGGCAGCTAAACGAATAAGTGGAACTTCGAGAACATGTCCGTGTTTAAACAAATAATAAGTAGTGTGACATTGCCAAGCGACTTCAAATATCAATGGTGGACTATTTTAGTGTATTATTGACATGGAAAATTGACGTACCGGTTAAAGCTACATACGCCGAAATCACAGGCTCGTTTGAATTTTGCTTCACTCAGCACTAGCATCGCACGGGTGTAGTCTACTGTTGTCCGTCCGACACTGTCCGACATCGAAGAAAAGTTTTTGACGAGCTTCGTAGCAAGCTCAAGGGGCTAAACGATTTTGCGAAGGTTTGCTTTGTACCGTGGCAAAAGTCATTATTGCGCAGCAACAGTGATTTGGTACAACGGGTTTGTATCTCAGGAATGTAAGTGCAGTATGGATAAACTTATCCAGAAATATTTCTTCTTCTTCACGCTTTTCGTCTTAGCTTCAACCTATGGCTTAGACAATTCAACAGCGCCGTATATCTTCAACGATCTCTACTCCCTCTTGGTACAATGGCCCAATACCTTCCATCCGAATGGGCACACAATTATCCCTGGCGTACTAGAGCCATATACTCTGCTCTATCATGCTCGAAAAGACACCGAAATTCCTCCGCCGTCTCCTGAATGGCTTGCATTTGATCCTGAAATGAGCTATGCAGTTATGGCTACCAAGTTACCGGGACCGACATATATGTACACCTATAGGACAACAAAGTCGGCGAAGGTGCTTTATTTCAATGGGATGTCAGCCGCTTGGGGCGAAGGATGGCTCGATACTCAGTACACTGTACTCACTGGCCAGGGAAAAACGAATGGGTCGAGGAACAACGAAGTCAGCTTGTGGGATGATTACGGTCGTGCCAAAGGACTTTGTCAGTGGAGTGAACAAAGAGGTTTTGAAGGAATTGTTCGTATGAACGCAGGATTGTAAGTATCATTTCTTCTATCGCTGTATCGATTCTCATTGATAAACCGTCTAGTGAAATTATCTGGTGTAATTTCAACTCTCCGTCTCTGAGACTCGTCAGCAGCTTGAATATTACGCCTCCAGGAACACCAGAGGCACGTCGATCCTTCCCTTTTCCTCTTGACGAGTCTTCGTCGGATGAGCTGCCTTTACACTCTTTCCGGCCTCCTGGCCGAGGGCCCGGCAGAGGACGTAGGCCTGGAGGTGGTGGTCGCGGTCCGTGGGGATATAGCACAGCTCCTCTTGCCCGAACTGGATTTCTGGAATGGATGCGTGCAGCTACGCGATACCATTCCACCATCCAACCTCACTTGTCTCTTTCTTATCACCAGATGGTCTCCTTCTACTATCCGCGTTATCAGAGCTTATATCCCAGTCGGTCCGGGAAACTCATGCAAGAGCATTTATTATGGGAACACATTACCGACGAGGATGTTCGTATATTTTTGGATGAGCTGGACTCGGTAGTCAGCACTGATCTACCTGGGACAGAATTTGATTGGCAGGCTGCGGCGATGGATGTTGTGGCCTTTTGGGCAGACCGTATTGGGCAGACCCAACATTTGCTGCATGGTGTCAACAGTACCTCCAACTTGACCGATGTCGTCAGGACGGTACAGCAATTGTCGTATTCATCTCTAAACCCTTTCATCGCTTATGGCGACGCACTCAACGCTTCAGGGCACGATATCGTGTTCAATTTCCGCTCTTCGCCCTCCATTTCTCTCGACACCATAGCTCCGGAAACCACTGCACTAGAGCGATGTAAATATTCTGCCACAGAATTTCTCGCGGAACCAGAGCTGCAGATACTCATGACATCTCAGGAATACATTTTGAAGATGAGCATCGACACGATTCTTGAGCGGCTTTGCACAGACTTTGGAACACTTTTTGCGGAGAGCACAGATCTGACGGACTCTGTCAGCTATCCTACGTTTATATCTGCGTGGAATAGCAGAATTGATTCTTTGGGAAGATGGTTAGAGTGGCCTGCATGGCTGAGATGCGAGGAAATATGTGACCTGGATGTACGTCGTTCTTACCGTGTTCTTGCAGCATATGTGTGACGACAGTCATTTCAGAGCATATGTACAATGCCCGCATGGCCTATCACCTGGGGTGGCGGTCCGTTTGGAGGAAGACCAGGACCAGGAAGGTCAAATGTCGATTTTTTGAAACCGACATGTAGGCGGTTGACGATGTGAATAAGACACTGGCGGATAAGTATGACACAGGCACTGGATCTTGATACATAAATATAGCACATTCAATTCTAGAGAGTATCTTTATAGAGATGGTAATATTATACTCTCTTCTCTTCCTGCTCCCGCTATTGGATGGGTTCTCAACTAACCCATCCTTCTTCTTCATCGACATCCATCTCATCCCTCCTCCGCTGCTTCACAGCACATGATGACATGGACTTTAGATGATCCCTCAAGTACAATGGCCAGGGCTGACGTGTTATTTATCTCACAAAAACTGGTGAAACAACACGCGGTGTCAAAGGCAGTTTAGGTCATCGTCATTACCCCTCGAGTCAAGCAACATCTTCAGAGCTCGCGATATCGCGACTGTGGCGTTGTACAGTGTCGGGAGAGGTATAACGTATCCTTGTGGAAAGGCAATGGATAGAACTCGTTTTGCAGATCGTGGATGAGCTTGTGATGAGCTTGTGGATGCGTCTGCCGGCTCTCTTGGCTTGCCTGAGGCGATTGGTGAGCTCGGAGGTAGCGAGAGGAGTAAACGGCGTAGACGATCTGCATGGAATATCTTCCATATTTGTGTTCAATCCTTCATCGGGATCAACAGAAGCTGACGCGGCTGGCGGTAAGGTTGAAGGAGGAGATGCAGATAATTCGTCATCATCATCCTTGTCGGAGTCACTGTTGCTCTCACTCTTTATTCTTGATAGAACGAACAAAGAAATGGACAGCTCCTCGTTCAAAGACACGATACAGATACAGAGAGACCTACCCGTCCTCATGGGTCGTTTTGTTCTAGCACCGCATTAAACAATAATGGTTTGGATTCGTCGTCCGACGCAATACAGATAGTAGGGGA